TTTACATGACTTAGAGGGATAAATGGTGTTTTTGTTGCTTGAGTTTCAAAATGAAAACTTCTATTGATGTTAATCTTGGTATCGAAACTGGTATCGAAACACAAGATTCTTAATAAATTTTGGTATCGAAATTGGTATCGGTATCGACTGATACCAATTATAAAGTAGTTGGTATCGGTATCGAAAAAAAATTCCTGGTATCGCCCAGCACTAGCTATGACGTCATTTGGCGAACACAACACCACAGTCACCACGCGCATAAGTATTAGCGCGAAGTTCAAATTCACTCAGTCGGCTCAACCAAGGCTTCAGGTAACATCTCCAGTTTGCTGTTAACTTGATTTAATTAAGTTAATATCTTTAATACAGGTCACATGACACGCAAACGTAAACCAGCACACTTCCTTTTTTCACACTGATCTCATTTTTTTAACAATGTTACGGTACCCCCGTCCGTAGAGCCTGATTTATTGCGTAAACAGGATTTGACATCATTTTTTGTAATACTAAAATAAAATAAAAGTGTGCTGGTTCACACTCCCCCCCCCCAAAAAAAAATCACATCTACTACTACGTTGGACTTGAAAACTCCCACAGTATCAATGGGCACTGTTGATCCATATGGATATAACTTTTGGCTTTCTTTCCTCAACTCGCATTTAATACCTTGCTCTTTTAAGTCTTCCCACGTCTGTCTATCAACAACATTACAAGAGGCACCCAAGTCTATCAATACATTCCTTATCTTTACTCCACCAACAACTAGGTCAACAAGAGCACTTGCATTCCTCACATACTTATCTTTAGCCCCGACCGCAAAAGCATACTCATTATCTTCACTGGGATGGTCATCACCTTTTCTTTCTCCTTCCTTTGACATTTGTCTGACACTCTCAGAATACTTGTTCTGCTTCTGGTTTCCTCGTCTTGCATGCAACAGCAAAATGTCCAATTTTGCCACACTTCTTACAAGTTTTACCCACAGCTGGACAGTCCTTATCTCAAGGAAAATGTCCAATCCTATCACATCGATAACACTTTTGACCTTACTTACTATTATGAGTATTATTACCTTTCTTTCCTTTCCATCTTCCACTCCCATTGCTGTTAACTTCCACACGTTGATCACTCTCCATTCTCCCCGCTTGCATGTCACTCCCTTCCATCGATCTAGCAACTCTCTGAACATCATCTAATGTTAACGTTTTACCCATTTCCAACAACTTCCTTCTAAGTCTATTTGATCTACATTTATCAATGACTTGATCTGGAATATATTCCCTCTTATTCTCCCCCAGATTAACAGTTATCACATTGGTGAGTTAACCGAATAACAAACTGATCGACCGTCTCCTATTTTCCTTGGAACATTTTCCAAAATTTGTGTCGCTCGAATGGTACATTAATCTGATGTGTAAAATGAGAGTCTAAAATTTCCATAGCTTTCTCATACTGGTCTCTCTCATCTTTACTTCCCCTTGCTGGTTCTTCTAAGGTTGAATATACTTCTTGAACATCCACTCCTGCTGAGTGAAGCAATAAAGCTTTCTTTTGTCTTGAATCAACAAATTCCGTGCCATCAATATAAAACTGAAATACCATTTTCCTCTGCCGCCATCTTGGTCCCACACTCGTAATGTCACCAGTACAATCAAACGGCATTATTTCATCTATTCTAACGTTTTTCGCCATAATAGTTATATATATTTCTATTTCAAGCTTTAAAGAACATCCTCATCGCCAAATGTAGTGTCTAGCAACTGTTTTAGAACATAGATGCACAAGGATTCAAATACTGAACTGCTTGTATTGAAAACCTATAACCATTTTTATATACACAAGTATTGCATGCATAATTATACCTAATTAACATCACAGCTAGTCATCTACTTAAAAGTTCCATCAAACTACATATATTTGCCATACTTCATTTTGTTATCTTTTGCATTTAGATTCGTATTTACCACATTTATGTCACCAGTTTCGTCTTCATCCTCATCACTGTCACTATCTTTATCACTGTCACTATCTCCACCACTCGCACTGCAGTCAAAATTGTTGTTGTCAAAATTACTTTCACCCACCGGAATGTTTAATTGCTCAGTTTCATCATCACATGGCCATAGGCATAGTCTTAGGTCATAGCTGTTGTGATCTGGCAAGGGTTCATCGCCGCAAATCAAAACATCTCGAGTTGTGGAGTTGTTGAGCGTATTACCTGATGACTTCTCGAAGTTAAATGAACATTGTATCTATGCGACGATTCAAAATTCACGCTACACAGGTTGCAATGATAACGAAATGCCCTTTTTTCCATTTTATAAGTTATAATTTGGGTACAAAATGTCGATTTTACAAACCTTTAAGCCATTGGCACAACAGTTTTGCTTTGCCACAGCAGGGTTGTCAACAATCTACAACAGGATTGTCAACAACCAAAAACAAGTTGTTTCTTGATCAATACATGTTCGCACCCAATATAACAATGTGTTGAGGCATGATGAGGAAACATTGTTGACAACAAGTACTGTTTGTTCATCAAGCATAAACAGTATTGTTGGAACAATATTGTTTAGGCAGGATGAAGCAACAATATATAATAGCGTTTTTTTTTGCTATTGTTTAGATAAAAATCGTTATCATGCTGGTTTCTTTAAATAAACTTTGTGGCCTCTCATTCTCACGAATTGAAAACTTGAGCTTAGTCATTTTCTTGAGATTAACAAGTTTAATTGTTTGTTGTCAAATTTTACAAACTCACAGGGGCAAAACCGTCTGTTTCAACGAAGGGCTTTTCCTTCAAACCTTTTCGAAGGTAATTTGTCTTATTTATAGCAATACTTTTATCAACATGTACAATAAAGTTAATATTTTGTAGACGACTCAGAGACGCAGGATCCAACATGGGAGCAGTAAAACCCATTGCCAGAGGTGATGAAAGAGCTCAAAGAGCTAAAAACTCTGATGAAAGAGGTCCTTAAAAATCAAGAACGGTTGGAGAAAGACGTTCAGAACCTAGGAAAGGCCCTTGGTGCAAATAATTTCCAATTGGCAAAGTCTAGCCATGCTGTAAGTGCAGTGAAAATGTATGAAATAATGTTTATTTTTTTTCACAATGTATTAAAACTCTATAGGCAAATGTGACAAAAAATTTTGCAAACTCCTATGTACAGCTGGGGAGGTTCGTGAAAGCCAATCAAAGTAAAACTGTAAGTTCATTCTGTTTATTGTTAAAACTGTAGGTGAAACATTTGTATACAGTCAATAATACTACACATGTTAAATCAACAGCTCCTGCTAACTCAATCTAATATCACCCTCTAAAAGAGCTGGTTCAAGCTAGCAGGGTTTCACCATAAATGTAATTATGTCATTACTTGCTTTGAAGGATCAACTGCAACAAGAGTTTCAAAACTTGCCATATAGTATAAGGTTGAGGAATTGATGCTGATGGCAGAAGCATTTGAGAAGTCCAAATTCACATACTGGAGGGCTGAAGAGAGAAGGGTACACTTATATTAAATAGCAATCTCATTTAAAGCAAAATAACATAATTAATTATACATCTTCTGTAATTATTGTCCAATACTGCAATTTAATACAATTTGTTGCAAAAGCCTTCTGGTCATTATTAAATAAGAAACTATTACATTAAAATGAGGCTTAGATAAGTTCGCTTCTAAATAAGTTAAAGAATGAATTAAGCTGTGCAATTAATGCCAAAATCATACTCGTGATTAACAAGTCAACCTCCCACTGTGTGGTTGGTTGATTTTGTAATCATTTGTATGATTTTGGCATTAATTGCACTCCTATTCATTCTATTATCATCATTAATTTAACTGGTTAAAGTCACAGTATACATTTTGTAATTGTTTTACCTCTACAGTCTGCCACAGTAATAGATGTACACAGTGGGTGGGAGCAGTGGTGTAGGAAAGTGAATAATTGGGGGGGGGGTAATTGGGGGGGGGTAATTGGGGGGGAGCACATATTCATATATTCATGTTCACAGACAGTAAAAACAATTGATTTCAAAAGAAGTTAATAGACAGTTTTAGGAAACAAGACGTGGACGTCAAGAGAACTGGAAAATGGCGTGTTTTGTCCATATATAGATATGCCACGCCATTTTTATGCCATTTTAACGTCGTCTTTGTTAAGTCTCATTCACCGACTTGTACACGGTATATCTAACACTTAACTGGGATAACATACAAAACAAATATAAAGCATGCTCGTTCGTGTTTGAGGCCCTAATTGTATAAATTAGCATAAATTATCTTAGACTATAACATCTCCCTTTCTTATGAGATTTGGTTTCTGTCACCATGGTTTGCTATAATATGGTGTAACGTAATGTCAATCCTTAATCTGTCCATCCTGATCAGCTTACTGTAGAGTTCAATTCTATGAGAGGATATAGTCTCTTAGCCATGCTGGTACTTGCTTCTGTCGTTGTGGCCTTTCGGCAATCTCCGGTTCTATGTCTGGATTCTCAGTGTCCGGTCTTTCGTGTTCCGCCTCATCATCTGATATCTCCTCATCCGTTTCCCTATCTCCGATCGATTCGTCTTGCTCTTCGTCTGCCTGCTTTGAGTATTCTTCGTCTGCTTCCACCAGAAGATTTGCAAGTTTGAGTTGGCTCGCATCGTGGCATAGCTCTCGCCCATCTTTGATTCGTCTCATGGTGATGGAGGATCCTTGGACTTTTGTGATAGTGTAGAACGCTGGCTCGAATGCCGTGGACCATTTGTTGTATTTCTTCTGCTTCAACAGTACGTAATCTTTCACGGTAAAGTTGTGTTTCTTGGTGTTTCTTTTCTGTTGTGACATGCGTGTTTTGTATTCTTTGTCTCATTCGTCGATGGCCCTGTCCTTTTCATTTCGATCACTTTCCTGCACGTGGGCGTGGTTTAATCTGGTGCGTATTGGTCTGCCCGTCATGGCCTCATATGGTGTAACCCCTGTGGCAGGGTGTGGGGTGTCCCTGTAAGCGATTAGCATGTTTTGTAGTGAGAGTTCTCTTTCTGATTTGTTCCTTCCTTGTAAATGGGCGATATGTTCTGTCTTGTTGAGGGTCTGCATGAATCTTTCTGCCTCCCCGTTGGCCCTTGGGTGCTGAAGTGTGATGCGATGGTGGGTAAACCCTTCCTTTCTAGCAAATTGTTGAAAGGAGGGCCATTGTCGGAATCCACGCATTCTGGGACACTGTGGTTGGCAAACATTCGTTTTAATCTCACTTGTGTTGGTGGAAATGATGTTGACGGTGTGACCTTAACTTCCGGGTAGCGAGTTCGCTTGTCGACTGCTACTAGGTTGTAATGGCCATCGAGGTATGGTGAAGCAAAGTCGATGGCGATTTCTTCCCACAGCTTCTTTGGGATTACAGTCGGTTTGATGGGTTCTTCTGTATGCCGTTTTGTGACGACCTGACATTCGAAACACTGTCCAATGAGTTGGTCAATCATTCCATTCATTGTTGGCCACTAGTACTTTGCCCGAAGCATTTGCTTAGTTTTAGTTTTCCCAAGATCTCGTGAGCGATCTTTATTATCTTCTTTTGTAGTTTGGCAGGTAGGATAATCTGATTCATCTGGTAAAGGAGACCGTTCGCTTCATACAGCTCGTCTTTGATAGCAACAAACGGAGAAATGTCAGGGTCCTTATGCGCCCACCAATCATCGTCCCTTATTATGCGACGGAGTTTTTGGAAAGCGTTGTCTCGCGTCGTTTCTGCCTTTATTTTGTCAAGGATGATAGCTGGCTCAGCCTCAGTGACACTCTTGATGATTTCTTCCGTTTCATTGTCTCCTGTCTGGGGTAGGGGGTGCCATGAGAGGAAGTCCAAAGGATCAGCCTCATCTTTTCCAGGCTCACATCGCATTTCATAGTCCACATCCTGCATGTCCATGACCCACTTCTCGATGTGTGGTGGTAGCTTTGCAGCGGCTTTGTTGAAGAGGGGGAGCAATGGTTTATGCGCTGTGACAATGGTGAATCGTGGTGCACCCAGTAGGTAAATGCTGAATCGATCCTTCGCCCACTTAACGCACAACGCATCTTTTTCGGTCTGACTGTATCTTCTCTCGTTGTCGGTAAGTGTGCGGCTGATAAAGTGGACTGGCTGCCACCTCTTCGCGGTGCGTTGAAACAGACCAGCTGAGAGACCTTCATTGTAGCTTGCTTCTGTGCGAACCATGGTAGGTAGTTGAGGGTCGAAAAATGCTATGGTATGCTATGGTTGGAGATACTGCATTTTAGATTCTCGAAGGCAGCTTGTTGTGCAGGACCCCAGTGGAATTTATTCTTGTTGTGGGTTAATTCTTTTAAGGGTTGCATCAGAGAGGCGTATCTGGGGATGAATTTTGCCAAGTATCCGGTCATACCGAGGAAGCTTCGTACTTTCGATTTCGGTGGGGTGCATTCTTGGATGGCTCTCGCTTTGTCGGGTGTCAGATTGAGTCCTTGTTGGCTGAATCTGTAGCCATAGAATTCCAATTCCCGCTGACCAAACTCGCACTTTGTCCAGTTGAATGTGATGCCGTAATCGGCTGCTCTTTGTAGAACAGCTTTGAGCATCGCATTGTGCTCAGTCCAGTCTTGTGCGCCGATTAGTAGGTCATCTCTTTGGTTTAAGCATCGGAGAATATCGCCAAAAATTCTCTGCATGGTTTCATCAAATAAATCTTGCGATGCCTTCGCTCCAAACACTAGTCACTTGGGTCGGAAATTTCCCCAAGGAGTGGCAAAAGTGGCAATGGCACAAGATGCTGGATCAAGAGTGAGCTGGTGGTAGCCTTGTCGGAGGTCCATCTTGGTCCATAGGCTGCAATTATGGAATGGGTGGGTGAAGTCTTCGATGATGGGGGTTTGGGTTACTCGGCTTTGTTCCATGTACTGATTAGGAATACGGAGATCAATGCTCGCACAGATCATATGTGGCCCTAACTCTTCTTTGGCTGTTTTTGCAAATCGCGGTTTTGGTTGTATGACCAGAGGTGAGCACCATGTGACTGGTTCATCCTCAGGGACCTTCTCAAAGATGTCTTCTTCGACTTGTTGTTGTAACCATTCCTTTAGTGGTTTTCGTAGGTGGTATGGTACAGGGCGGGGTTTCTGCGTGACCGGGATCGTGTCTGGTTTCATGTAAAACTGTCTGTAAATTTCCTGCTTGTTCTTCTTGTCTGTGATCCTGCCAATTCTGTGAAATACATGATCGTATTTAGCTATAAGGTTTTCCATCTCCTGATGTTTGGGATTCGTGGTATTTGATCTGATGGTCAAATGGTCATCTGATGGCGTTTGGAGTTGCAAGTCCTCCTTCAGGCTGGATTTTGAGCATCCCTAATTCGAGGAGGGTGGTTTTTCCAAGCAGAGGTGGTGAATTTATCCGACCTTTTACAACAAGAAAGGTTGCTGACTTGCCACAGGTTTGATTTCGAATGATTGTTTCAAATTTTCCTTTGACACTGAGAGAGTGTTGTAATGTATTGAGTTTCACTTGGCATTGTTGCAGTTTTGGCCTATGTTGCTTGGAATTGATGTTCATCTATTAGGTTCACCTCAGCCCCACTGTCGGGTTCCATTCTAATATCGACATCGTGTAATCTGACTGTTACTGTTTGCTTGCATTTTGATGATCCTGTAATTTTCTTGGCTTAAAAGCTCGATTTTACCGCTTGCACAAAGTAGTCATCATCAAAGCTAACTGATGAGTCATCTTCTGTGGTCCCTGTGGTCCGTTTGATGTGCCCTAGTTGCTTGTTCTGACTGGTAGTTTGCTGGGACCCAGCTTGTGGTCTTCTGGCTGACCTACATACCGATGCGAAGTGGTTTTCTTTGTTGCATTTCCGGCAGCGCTTCCCAAAGGCTGGACAGGTGTTGCTTTTGTGGTGGTTGTACCCACAGTAATGGCATTGGGGTGTCCCTGGATTGTTCCTGTTTTCTCGTTCCTGCCCCTGATTCTGGCGAGCTCAATGCATTTGGGGTTGATTTCGTACTCCAGGCGATTCTATTTTATTGATATCTTTTATGTCCAATTGTGTTTCCTGTGGTTCTTAATTAATTCCCAGTGTCCCTTTCAAGGATGTTATATCAGTAACCTGTCATCTAATGTTTTCCATTTGGGCAGCTTCAGTTAAGAATTGAGAATAATTCCAGGATTTGTTAAGAGCTTTTTGGATCAGTGGTTTGTGGTCTGTTGTTTGGATGATGTGTTCCAGAATTCGGTCATCATGGGTATCACCAAACTCACAATCGGTTGCCTTTTCTCGCCGTCGTGCGGCATAGCTGCTTGTCAATTCCCCTGGTGTTCGTCGTAGCTTGAGAAACTGGTACCGGGCATAGTGCTTGTTCCTCTTAGGTAGATAATAGTTGTTGAATTTTGTTCACAATTTCTCATAGGGGTTGCTGTGTCTGGGTCAGGCTAACTCTTCTCTAGTTTGGCCACCTCTCTACCGCCATATATGATTAATGCATCCTTTTTATCAACGAGCTCAACAATTTTAAAGTATCTAAACTCCCGTTCAATGCCCTCTAGCCATTCTTCCCAAGCTTTACCGGTAGCACATGGATCGTCCGGGGGAATAAATGGTCGTGATCGTAGGTTTCTAGTCTCAGTAATAACTGTATTGGTGGTGACGATTCTACGCCGTTTGCAGACGTTTCGTCGGTCATTCTCGCTTGTAGTATTCGCAAATTGTCTTACCTCGCCGTCTTAAAGTTCTTTTCCTCTCTCGTCGCCAATGTTAAGTCTCATTCACTGACTTGTACACTTACTTCATTTTAGCAAGATTCTTGGAATAGGAAATTGGGCATCATTGGTAAAAGCCAACAATCGGGAGATGACCTCAAAAATATGTGGACTCCTTGGTGTCAAATTCAATCAGACACTGGAGAAGATAATCATCCGAGAGACTGCTCTTGTGGTAATATTTCAATACATGTGTATTTGTATATCTATCTGTCCAAGAGAGCCCAAAGTCATTTTCACAATTCTATAAAAAGAATTTTATGAGATAACAAAATTTTGTTATACCAGTCATCATACATACAATCTTATTGAAGATTCACAACTGACTGACATTATCCAAAATTAGCTTTTCAAATAGAGTTGTGCCAACAAAGTAAAGGGTAAAGGTTCTTCTAAGTTGCTATCTTAAATCTATATATTAAATTACGGTGCTCAAATACAGTATGTTATATTTCCCTACCTTATATATTTCTAGAGAAAGTACATTACGGCAGGGAGGACTGCAAGAAAGATGAGAGGTTCTGGCCCAACTTCTACACGTGGAAGGAGACCAAATATGGAGCCAGAGGTCCTACATCAGTCCAGTGGAACATGATTCTCACTGAAGAATAGTTTAAGTTCAATTTGTTTTAAAAAGCATGTCTCGGTTATGCTTGCATCAGTTGGCTACATGTATTAAGACACACATTCAGCAAGCTAACGTCAGGTGTAATTTCGTATTTCACAGTTGAGTGATTTGGCCTTTTACATGCTGTATAAGTGTGGATTAAGCCAAAAAAAGCATAAATTATTGATTATCTACGGATTCTCAGACTTTGTCTTTAGTTTATGCAGCTGGGTTTGAAATATCATTAATCGACCTTAGCTGAGCTCAACGTCCTTGAAAGCAAAAACAGTCCTGTCGAACGCCATAAGAATCGAAATTATTACCTGATACAAAATCGATCGTGTCAAAAATACTGCAAAATCTAAAAATTGAAACATAATAGCTACCTTTTCGTGGAGTAAGTAAATAATCCATGCAACAATTGCACCAAAATTACAAAGATTCGTTGGCCAGATATGATGCAAATATAAACATATAAATTCGATATATTTACAAATTGCAAACCAAGCGCGCAATGCATGACAGATAATAGTTTACGTACATGTTAATTGATATCCTCGAAATTATAATTTTAAAATCAATTGAGAATCTCTAATTATTTATAGCTACCAAATTATTGAATGAAGCAGATATTATTGTTGTACAAAAAATAATGATTTAATTAAAATAGTTGCAACAAATGAGAACTTGTATATTTATTGGCTGGTTCATAGTTGCTGGAGCTTGATTAAGAAACAATGCTAAACAGCCTTGTTCTGACATCATTTATCAAGCTTGTTTCACCAGCATTTTAACAACCTGTCCTAACAAATGTTGACAGCTATTGTCTGTTCATCAACACCAAAGAATATTGTTGAAACATTGTTGTTGAGGCCTGATGAAGCAACAACGCTAAACAACCTTGTTCTGACAACACTTACCAGGCTTGTTTCATCAACATTGTTTGTGCCTGTCTTGACAAATCTCAGCAACTACTGTTGTCTCATCAGCAATAAACAGCATTGTTAGAACAATGTTGTTCCGGCCTGATGAGACAACAGCACAAAACAGTCCTGTTCTGACAACATTTACCAAGCATGTTTCATCAACCATGTTGACGCTTGTCTCAAAATGTTGCA